GAACGCTCTGGATTCCTGGGGGCGGGGCCGGGGCAGAGTGTGCTCTGGAGTCCTCAGCTGCTGACGCCCAAGCATCACTTCTGCTGCGCTAGACGGCGCTGCCTGAGGAGCGGAGAGCACTGGCTTAGTGGAGCCCCCTGGCAACAAGGGTGAGCCAGGGCTTCTTTGTAAAGTCTCTCTCATCACCTCTTTTCTCTCTGGAGCTCAACATGGTGTACTGAACACAGTAAAAATAAGAACTTGGAGGCTGGAATTTTGGTGGTCAAATATCATCTGCCTTGAGTCTAATCCCTGCTGGTGCCTACATACAGTGCGCTGGGTTCCGGCAGCTCTGCATGGCACCACCACAGGGCAGGACTTTGGTGTAGCTGGTGTGCAGACCCTGGAAGGCACCCCACCCCACTATGCAAGACCACAACCAAACATGCATTCAATGCTGTCATTGCAACAACCACAGAAAGGAAAGGAAAAACAAACAAACAAGCAAAAGAACAAAAAAGAAAACGAGAATGGCCCTAACCAGTAACTCTCCCGGGGAGGTTTTTCTCTTTCAAGCTTCTATTCTAGAAACACCCCAAATCTGCAGCCCTGGGCCCAGCGTGTCCCTTTGGCTCTGGCCATTCTTGCTCCTTTAATCACTTATCACTTAATCACTTAATCCCCGTTATTCATCGATTTATTCGAGCGGGTGCCAGTAACGTCTCCATTCATCCCGGTTGCGTGCTAGCGTAGCCCAATGGTATCTGTTCGTTTTAGGAACATGTAGAGCCTCAAACTGATCATTTAGGGTCTTGACGAAGAAGTCTGACCATCTTATAGGTGGGCGTCCACGTGATCTTTTGATGTCTCGTGGAATCCAATCAGTAATGGCTCTAGTCCAGCGGTTGTCTGTAAACCTCATTACGTGTCCAGCCCATCTGATTTTTGATGTCTTGGCAAATGAGACAGCGTCCCTAATTCTTGAGCGTTGACGAAGATCAGAACTCCGGATTCTATCTCTCATTTGAGTGAATCGTGATATTCCAAACATAGTTCTTTCGATTCCTCTTTGAGAGACCCGAATAGTGTTCTCATCCTGTTTTCGTAGGGTCCAGGTCTCTGAGGCATATGTTAATGCAGGAAGAATAGTGGAATCAAAGAGATGTGCTCGTCGCTGGAGGTTCTTTGTCCTTTTAGTTATTTCTTCAATGCTCTTGAAGGCATTCCAAGCCGCTCTCTTCCTCCTGCGCAACTCAGGTGCCAGGTCATTCATCATGTTGATTTCTCGACCTAGGTATATATAACTGTTGCATTCGGAGATGGTGGTTCCGTTGAGAGCGAATGGAGCGTCAGGAACAAGGCTGTTTCTCATAAACATTGTCTTCGTAAGATTCAGCTGTAGTCCGACCTTTCCACATTCACGGTCAAAGTCGTTCAGCATTTGTGCTGCTTGGTTGATGTTTGGTGTTATTAGAACGATGTCATCAGCAAAGCGGAGGTGGTGTAGTTGCCGACCATCTATCTTCACTCCCATGTTTTCCCATTCCAGTTGTCGCATGATGTTCTCGAGGGTGGCACTGAAGAGTTTTGGTGAAATGGTATCACCCTGCCGAACCCCTCTCTTGATATGGATGATTACTTCTTTGTAGAATGGTGAGATCTTGGTAGTGAATCCGCAATAGAGCTCACGAAGGATCCTGATGTATTGAGTTTGTACGCCCTGATTGGCTAGGGCTTCCATGACTGCTTCCGTCTCAACAGAATCAAAGGCTTTCTTTAAATCAATGAACGTTAGACAGAGCGGCATCTTGAACTCCCGAGATACCTCAATGAGCTTGGTTATTGTGTGGATATGGTCGATGGTACTGAATCCTTTTCGGAATCCAGCTTGTTCACATGGTTGTCCTTTATCTAGTGTTCTGCTAATCCTATTCAGGATGACTCGAGTGAATAGTTTGTAGATGACAGACAATAGGCAGATTGGGTGATAGTTGCCAATGTCGTGGATGTCTCCTTTCTTGTATAGTAGTACAGTCTTGCTGGTTTTCCATTGGGATGGAACCTTGCATTCAGACAGGTAGCGTGTGAAGAGTCGAGCCAATGTATTGATGAGTACTGATGGTAAGTTCTTCAGGTGTTCAGGTCTGATCTTGTCTGGGCCAGGTGCTCTTTGTTTCTTTACCGACGAGATGGCATGTTGGATTTCGGAAGGGAGAACATTGGGAACGACATATCCATCATGTGGTATGTGGTATGTGGGCAAGTGGATGTGGCTATTAAAGAGATCTGAGTAGAAGTCATGAATAATCTTCTCCATTGCCCTTCTGGAAGATGTGATAGATCCATCATGATGTCGGAGGGCAGTCATCTTGGTTTTGTAGTTGGTGAAGGACAGGCGGGCATTACGAATGTTTTTCCCAGCTTCTGCTGCATCTACCAGTACTGCTGCTCTCCTGTTTTTGAGGTCATCCTTGATGGCTTCTCTGCACTGTTTTGCCAGTTTGGACGTTTGCTTGTGGTTGCCTGAGGCACGTGCCAAGCCACGTTGGCGAATAAGTTCAAGAGTGTTCGAAGAAAGACGGTTTTTTGTGGTTATCTCTCTCTTGGCATTCCTTGCACAATCATGGAGGTGCTGAATCATTCGATCGTATTCCTCATCAATGTTGTCAATGACGGCATCTTCCCATGTTGCCGCAACAGAGCCAAAGAGTTCCCAGTTGGTGGTTGTTCTGGGAGTCCTCTTCTTAAACCTTGCATTCTTTTCTCCTCGTTCTGTGAGGTAGAATTTTGCACGAAGAAGACGGTGGTCTGATCCCGTTTGGAATTTTGGGACAACAGCAACATCGGTTAGGCAAAACCGCCGATTGAATATGATGTGGTCTATTTCATTGTGGAACCGTCCATCGGGAGACTCCCATGTCCAACGTTTAGATTCAGCCTTTTGGAATTGTGAGTTACCATGGAAGGTTTTGGTTGACATGATGAACTCAGACAGTCTGTCACCCTGTTCGTTCCATTCCAGGCCATGGGTTCCGATGTGGAGTTCATCGACTGATCTTCTTGGTCCTATCTTGGCATTAAAATCACCGACAATGATCTTGTAGAAGGTGTGATCTTCTTTATAGAATTTCTCCAGCTCCATGTAGAATTTCTCAGTTTCTCTTTCACCATAACTGGATGTTGGTGCATAGACAACAAAGATAGAAACTGCCGGTAGTGAGCCACATTTATTCAAGTGTAATCGTCCGATTCGGGTTGTTAGGCATTTAAATGAATCAATGCTCGTGACTAAGTTTGTGTTGACAAGGATACCGACACCACCGACGCCTCTTTTATCACATGTTCCAAGGAACAGTTCTTCTCCAGTGTCGAAAACAGCATGATGGGATTGATGTCTTCTCGTTTTGGTCAGACCAATGATGTCGTACTTGATCTTTCGTGCTTGTACCATAAGGTCTTCAATGGATGCAGCAGATGCCTTTAGCCATGGAAAATCCTCACAGACGTGCACCAGGATGTCCAGTGCCCCAGCATTCTAATCCCCTCTCCGAGCCCCCTTTCCTGGCTCCAGTGCCTCCCCTGCAGGCACGCTGCTGTGGAGCAGCCAAGCCTGGTTCAGGGGATGGAGGCCTGGGACAGGCCCCTCGGGGTGTGGCTGGCTCACTGCGGGTTGGAGCTCCGGAATTGGGTACTTTGTTTACATAGCAGTAGGCAGCAAATCTGGATCACACAGCTCCCACAGACTTTCCTGCAGGAAGTCGTATTAAGTAGAGATTCTAATTCAAAACAGAAAACAAGGGGTTGGAGCCATAGGACAGCAGAAAGGCACTTGCCTTGCATGTGGCCCATCGGGCTTTGATCCCCAGCGTCCCATACGGTTCCCCCGAGCACCACCAGGAGACATTCCTGAGTGCAGAGCCAGGAGTAACCCCTGAGCATCACTAGGCATGACTGAAAAAACAAAATTTAAAAACAAATACGGTGGGTGGATACAATGAATAAGTCAGGAGGAGGAAAGGGGAAGGGAAGCCCTGGGAGCTGAGGAGGGGAGGCCTTTGGGGCGTGCTCAGGTGGGAACCTTCTCGGGACAAACCACATAGTCCTGGAGGCTGGGGAGCGAATGTGACCGTGTGACCTTGGAGCTTGTTCTGCTGCTGCTGTCACACTGCGTTCTGGTTCCACTGAGTCACACAAGCATGTGTGTATCCCCAGTGACCTTGGACTATCCCAGCTGGCCACTGCCCCTGTTCAGTTTTGAGGGAAGGACTTGTGTTCACTCCATGTGAGGATCCAAGCACAGTCCCCAGGGGGAGGCAGGCCGGGGTGGGGTGAAGTCTCAGTTCCACCCCAGCCCTGGGAGATCCTGGGAACAGCCCTCCCTTGCCCGCGACCATTTCTTTCTACCTACAATGGAAAGGCCGGACTGTGGACCCCAGGGCTCCTCAGCCCGGCTTCCATTAACACATGCAGGTGCTTTGGAGAACTGTCCATGCCTAGAGATTATGGGCTGGGGTAGGCAGAGGAAGTTATTTAAGTTCCAGGTTTTGTTTGGTTTTGTTTCGGGACCAGGACCAGTTGCAGGCTGGCATTGCTCAGGGGATCGGAGGTGGCACTGCTGCAGGTTCAGCAAGGCCTTAAGTCCTGTAACATCTCTCTGATCCAGTCCAGTGTTTCTTAACTGCCTCTTTAGTTGTTCTAGCCTGTGTCCAGTGCTGGCACTGCTGGGCTGGGCCTGTCTTTCCAATCCTTTCCCATCACTAACGTTTGGCACTGACGCCCAGACATGGAGATGTGTCTTGATGAGTGTGTGGGCTCTGCATGGAGGCTTGCAGGTCCCCGACCAGCTCTCTGGGTGCACAGGTGTGCTCTCTTTCGTGTGGTGAGTGCACAGAGGCATCCGACCAAGGTGGTCATTCCTGTGACAGGAAGCTGGATGAAAGGGAGTCCCTAGGGATGCGCCAGCGTGTGTTGTGGGAGACTGGGAGGTGGGGGCCCCAAGTGACCAGCCCTGTGCCTGGCAGGGCGTGCCTGGGAGCGCGGGACCCCTACTGTGGCTGGGACGGGAAGCAGCAGCGCTGCAGCACCCTGGAGGACAGCTCCAACATGAGCCTCTGGATCCAGAACATCACCACGTGCCCCGTGAGCGCCCTGTGCCCTGCCCCCTCCTGCACTCCCCCTCGGTCTCCCCCAGGCCCCAGCGCCTCATGCCTTCCCTACCCTTCACTGACGAGTCTCACCTGCGGATGTGTCTGCAGGTGCGGAATGTGACTCGGGATGGTGGCTTTGGCCCGTGGTCACCGTGGCAACCATGTGAGCACTTAGATGGGGACAATTCAGGCTCTTGCCTGTGTCGGGCCCGAGCCTGTGACTCCCCCCAACCCCGCTGCGGCGGCCAAGACTGCCTGGGGCCAGCTATCCACATCGCCAACTGCTCTAGGTAGGACGGGACACGGTCACTCACGGCTTCCTTGGACGCATGGGGAAGTGGGCATCTCCAGCCAAGCATTTGCAGCACAGGAGAGAAACCACCTGAGGGCTGTGTGGGTGACTGAGACTGTGTCTGCTGCCTCAGACAGAAGCCACGAGCCTCAGAGTCTCAGGCCCGTGGGAGAGGGATTCAGTCCCGAGGGCTCGATGGCAGGAGGAAGTCTGGCAGACACAGAGTTGCCTCAGACCTTAACCTTAGGAAACCCTACCAGCCCAGGACTGGGCAGGCAGGGGCACCAGGTGCAGGCCCTGCTTGGCCACCTTGATACAACCCCATGCTCACTGGGAGCCCTTCTCAGTGAGGGCTGCAGTCGCCCCACCCCAAGGTCCTTGGGAGAATTCGGTGAGAAAATATACCTAGAGAGTGACTATGCACTGCCAGTGCTCTGGGATTCCACAAAGAGCAACTGCCCATAATTTGGGGCGCTCTTGGAATAATGTGATGTCTTATTTGCTTCAACATCGCAACAATCTGACAGGGGTGAGAATACTCTCCCAGCCGGGTCAGGTTTGGCCCTGGTAGACCCAGACGCCCCCAGTCTCTACCCGGGGAGGCCTGAACAGATCAACACAGGTGTGGTCCATATTAAAATAATATTACAAATAAGGTCTTATGTGGCACACATCTCAGCAACTTGTCCAGACTTAGACGCTAAGTGGTAAAACGGTATTTGGAAAGTGGACTCTAAGTAGAGCCTTGAGCTGTCTTAGGGGCACTGCGCTGGAGAGCAGGGAGAGGGCAGGCTGCCAGGAAGGGAGGGAGCCCTTCTGCCCTGGGGAGGTTCTGGTCCTCACCTTCCCGACCTGTGGAAAGAGCAGCCAGCTAAGGGGTAGCTCACACTGCCTGCCCGGAGCCCGTGTCCTTTGCCCCTGCCCCGGGCCCTGATGAGACCAACTCCAGCTCCCCAAATGCCTCTGAGAGAAGCGAGAGCCCAGCGGCTCTCCGTCAGGGTCTTCTCGGGCTCCCCAGGAATGGAGCGTGGAGCCCGTGGTCGTCGTGGGCCCCGTGCAGCACGTCCTGCGGGATGGGCTTCCAGGTCCGCCAGCGAAGCTGCAGCAACCCCGCCCCGCGCCACGGAGGTCGCATCTGCGTGGGCAAGGGCCGCGAGGAGCGGTGAGCGGGGCGGGGGGCCGGGTCACGCTGGTGGGGCGGGTCAGGGAGGGCCGGGTCGCACGCTGGCCGCTGGCCGAGGCACTAGGACCGGTCACACGCTGGGACCAGCAGTGGGGCCGGGTCGCAGCAGGCGTTCCTGCCCTAGAGAGGGCCTGCACTCCGCCCGCTGGCACCGCAGTGCCTGCTCCCTGGGCAGAGGTCCGGGGCCCCGGAGTGCAGAGCGCCCTCCCCTCCCTGCAGGTTCTGCAATGAGAACACGCCGTGCCCCGTGCCCATCTTCTGGGGCTCGTGGGGCTCGTGGAGCAGGTGCAGCAGCAACTGCGGGGGCGGCGTGCAGTCGCGGCGCCGGGCCTGCGAGAACGGCGACTCCTGCCCGGGCTGCGGCGTGGTGAGGGCGCGCGGCGGGCGCGGGCGCGGCGGGCGCGGGTGCGGGGCGCGGGCGGGCCTGGCGGCGGGGCGAGGAGGCACAGCCGGCCTCTCCGCTCCCCCAGGAGTTCAAGACGTGCAACCCCGACGGCTGCCCCGAGGTGCGGCGCAACACGCCCTGGACGCCCTGGCTGCCCGTGAACGTGACGCGGGGCGGCGCGCGGCAGGAGCAGCGTTTCCGCTTCACGTGCCGCGCGCCCCTGGCCGACCCGCACGGCCTGCAGCTGGGCAGGAGGCGCACGGAGACCAGGACGTGCCCCGCCGACGGCTCGGGAGCCTGTGACACGGACGGTATTCCTGGCCCGTGGCGTGCCCACGCGGAGGGGGCTGGGGGAGGGGCGGGCGGCTAGGGTTCCTTGGGGCGCCCTTGTCACCGAGGCAGCAACCCCTCTCCCCGACCCCACCGCAGCCCTGGTGGAGGATCTCCTGCGCAGCGGGAGCACGTCCCCCCACCCGCTGAGCGGGGGCTGGGCCCCCTGGGGCCCTTGGTCCTCCTGCTCCCGGGACTGCGAGCTGGGCTTCCGTGTCCGCAAGAGAACGTGCACGAACCCCGAGCCCCGCAACGGGGGCCTGCCGTGTGTCGGCGATGCGGCCGAGTACCAGGACTGCAACCCGCAGGCGTGCCCAGGTAAGGCTGCCTTGGCGGCGTTGGTTCTGGGGCAGCATCTGGGGAACCCCCTCCGCGCATACCTGAGACCACCGAGCTGCGTACGACGCACCGCACTCCCAGGAGGCGCAAGGATGTTTCCTGCTCAGAGCACGGCAGCTGCCTGAGTGGCAGGGCCTCCCCACCACGTGCTCATGGGGTTCGCCCTCCACGGGTTACCATAGCTTAGCCAGATCAGGAGTTGGGCTGGGGGTGGACATGGGGTGGACATGGGGTTTTATTTGGAGTGGTGAAGTCCTAAGCGGTGCTACACCCTCCTGATGTTCGTTCACCACGACACTGTTAAGTCCCTACACCTGGGGCATGACGCTGCTGAGTGGAGGCTGAGTGGTGACCAGGGCCAGTAGCCTGCTTTCTGGCTCTTGGTGTGGCCTCTGAAGGGGCGAGAACCCCCGCCCCCGGTGTAGACTGTGGAGCAGGTCGTCACCCAGCCTTGGGGAGGAGCCAGTCTTGGCTCCTGCCCATCCCTGCAACCCCCCTCACTCAGCTCATCCCTGCTCTCGCAGTGCAGGGTGCCTGGTCTTGCTGGACCTCGTGGTCCCCGTGCTCAGCGTCCTGCGGTGGCGGCCACTATCAGCGCACTCGTTCCTGCAGCCACCCGGCACCTTCCCCCGGGGAGGACATCTGCCTGGGCCTGCACACAGAGGAGGCACTGTGTGCCACAGAGGCCTGCCCAGGTACGAGGTGGGTGGGGCGCGGCCAGGGCAGGGCAGCACCCCGTCCAGGGTGGTTAACCTCATCCCAGCTCACCATCCCCAGAAGGCTGGTCGCCGTGGTCAGAGTGGAGTCCGTGCTCAGAGGCGGGAAGCCAGAGCCGGAGCCGCCACTGTGAGGAGCTGTTCCCGAGTCCTGGGGCCTGTGCAGGCAACAGCAGCCAGAGCCGCCCCTGCCCCTACAGTGGTGTCCCAGGTAGGTCCTTTGCCCACGCCAGGTCAGCTCACCCTGACCCAACGCCCTTCCCTGGGATGCCAGGACGAAGTGGCAGGCAGGGGCGCGTCCACTGGGGCCTCTGCTGTGGGACAGTTGCTGCAGACGGGGGAATGCGTGGATGCGTCAGGGGCCATTGCTCGTGTGGCCTCTTGCGTCTCCCTGCCCCTGACCTCTCTGTGCATCTCCCCGCAGCGACCCTGCCCGAGTCCAGCGTGGAGGAGGCCACCAGTTGCACAGGTGAGAGGTGCTGGGGCCTCCCCCCAGCTCACTTCTGCAGACATGCTGCCCTCCCGAAGTCTCTTCCCTGCCTGGGACTGGGCAGATCTGGTTGTCTCTAACCCTGAACCCCAATCAGGAAGACTTCATCTGTATTCCAGAAGAATCATGAAGCTTCTCTCTCACGCCCTGGCCTTCTGTGCCACCATCCTGTGGCGTGTTGGGTACTCTTGTGTTGCCCTTGCCTTGACGCTGCTTCCCTGCTGCAGGATTCAGCCTCATCCACCTGGTGGCCACTGGCATCTCCTGCTTCCTGGGCTCCGGGCTGCTCACCTTGGCCGTGTACCTGTCCTGCCAGCACTGCCAGCGCCAGTCCCAGGAGTCTACTCTTGTCCATCCTGCCACCCCCAACCACCTTCACTACAAGGGTGGAGGGACCCCCAAGAATGAGAAGTACACGCCCATGGAGTTCAAGGTGGGGTCCCGTAGCTATGGAGGGTGCAGGGGCACTGGCCCTTGGCTGCCACTCGTGGGGGGGGCAGAGATGCGAGGGGGGGTGGTGACCCTTTGTCCACTGCTGCATGCTCTTGATCTCCTTGCCCGGTCTGGCCCTGCCCTCTCCCCATCTCCTTCTCTCTCTGCCCACAGACCCTGAATAAGAATAACCTGATCCCCGATGACAGAGCCAACTTCTACCCACTGCAGCAGACCAATGTGTACACGACCACCTACTACCCAAGCCCATTGAATAAACACAGCTTCCGGCCCGAGGCCTCTCCGGGCCAGCGGTGCTTCCCCAACAGCTGATGCCACGGGCCGGGCACACAGGCTCCTCGCTTTCGCAGGCACAGAGCCGGGGGAGATGGACACGAAGCTGGAGCCACTTTGGTTTTCTCCTGTACCAGGCCGGGAACTTGCTGCTTTGCCTCGTGAGGGTCCAATCCAGTGGCAGAGAGCTCTGCTTGGCACGGACCATGAGGGACAGGGCTGGCTTGTCCCTGGCACCAATTCCAGACAGCCCGCTCTCTCCTGCCCTCTCCGCCCACCATCACGCTGCCCTCGCCTGCCAAGTCTGGGCTGCATGTCTGAGCTTGGGAGAAAGTGGTGAGAGGAGGTGCCCAGAGGGCAGGCACTTGGGTTGGTGTGGGCCAGGTCTGCCCCTCTCTGGCTGGCCCCAGGAAGACCCTGGGCTCCATCCCGATGTTCTCTGAAAGGATTTCATCCAGTCTCTGCCCAGGCCAGGCCACAGTGGTGCTGCAATGCGAGGACCCATGCTGACCCAGAGTGTCCACCTCTGCCTATCTGTACTTTGCCCAGGGACATTCTTACAGTCAGAGACAGTGAGAACTGGAGACTGGACGCTGATCTCGGCTGAGAAGCCCTTTCATCCAGGTGGGCACAGGTGCCAGCTGGCCCTGAGAAGGCTCTGAAGGCCCAGGAGAAAGAGCTGTGGTATAATGATAGAAATTGGCTGCCAGTTGCTGTCAGCAAGGCTGTTGGCTGGGACTTGCCTGGGAGCTTGTGCTGCCCTCACCCATTCAGGAACACACACGTGCACACACACACAGCCGCAGTCCACTACCACCACAGAAGGCTGTTGGGCTGCGGCGTTCTTAATTAAAGAGGATATCCAGACTCCAGATGTAACTTTGTCATGGTGTGCGTATGGGGGGCTTTTCTTGGCAGCCTAGTCAATCTGAGCAGTGCACTGTGGGGGGCACAGATGGTCATCATAGGGACACATATGACCTCCTAGATGATAACTTCCATCAAGGATGCATTTTCGGTTGGGAGAGTGTGTTCACATGTGTCCCTACGTGCTTTTGGGGGAAAGAGTCGGAGGATAAACAGACTCACAGGTAGGCCAGGCTCGTGTAGGCCAGGAGGGGCACCTTTGGTCTCTTTAGGCGGTTCCTCTAGGCAGCAGTCCCAGTGGGAATGCGGAAGTCACATGGGAGCGCAGATGCGTGTTAGCTCTGAGGCATTTACAGTACAGAGTTTAATAAAACCTAAATTGGCTGAGAAATGAGAAAATTCATGAGGCAGGGGATGCCCACTGTAGTTTTATTTTTCCTTTTGCTGGATTAAATTAAAATAACATCCAAACCTCAACCCACCAGATCAGTACTACCCTTTCAGATGAGCCAGATGGACAAACTGAATTTAGAGAAAAATTTTGTGGCTTCACTGGGCTAATTCTTGTAGGAGTGCCAGCAATATCTACTTGTAGCTCAGGCTATAAAAAGACTGAGATCCTCACGCCAAAGAGGCAGAGAATCTTGGGGAGTGAATGAGGTGAGCACTTCCTGGGCCTCAAGCCTTGGATTCCTTGTGCTTCATGGGGGAGGTGTCCTCAGAGTAAGGAGGTGGCTAATCAGAGCACTCCAGGGGAATGTGGGTATCATTGGAATTTGGGGATTATTACTGTTCTCCTGTTCTTTCCATATACAGAGCTTGCGGGGCTTGTGTTAGATCTTATTGTCTCAGATTCTTTGGGATTTGGAGGAGTCAGCGCCCGGGTACTTGCTTCGGTCTCATTTGTCTAAATAAAGAGACCAGTTAGGGTTGTGGGAAGTCGATGTGGAGCTTTCTCAGGTAATGTTCACCTACTGTGAAGTGAAATGGATAGGTGGTGGAAACCCATGAGTGCCATGCTCCTCTCCTTCACATATCTTATGAACTTGGGGTGCATGACTGTCTAGAATGCACGAAGGGTTTCAACGCTGCATACAGATTAGCTTGCGTGGTTGGCAAAGTCAACAGCTTGGCCCAGAGATGAGGAAACTGGGATGTGCTTCCTGATAAGGAGGGGGTAGCATTTCTATCAGGTGCTTGATACCTCGTGGATGGTTTCAGAACCATCAGGATGCTTAGTCTGAAAGAAAAACAAGCTTTATTGGTCCAGTGGAAAGATAGGGTTAGGGTTTCCACATGTACTGGGGGCCTTTTGCCTTTAACTGTGTAGTGAGAGCACATGTGTGTTCATATGCACAGATTATTAAAGTCACACAGTTTCATGGTAGAAAAGTTAGAGACTACAGAAATGCAAAACATAATCAGACTTATATTAAAACCCGAAGAAGAGTGGGATTTGAAATGGTGGTGTGAAGACATTTCAAAAGGCATTCCCCATGCCATATATCAGCATCACTCCAAAAGCAAAGGGAACAAAAACTAAAACTATTTTCAATATAGCTAGGGAGCATTCTGTAACAGCACACTGTGGTTCTTGGAGGCAGAGAAAAAAATGGAGAGAAAGTGATCATGTGTGGGTGTGGGTCAAGCAATTGCAGAAATCAGAACATCATCAGTGAAGGCAATGGGTAAGGAGAGGACCTGAAGAGAAGTTGAAAGGCACGTGTATGCTTCGGTCTCTTCACTGTCTGCTCAGAAGGCCACTTGCCACTCATCCAAATGGGCAATAAATGTGTTACTTTGAAGGACTGAGCCAGAGAAGCCCTGGACAGGGGGTTCCAGATAATAAAGGCACGTGAGGGCACGTGAGGAGAATTGCCTGATGCGGGGGACTGGACACTGTCAGTGGACTCTATATATGTTGGATTCAGCACTTGCCTTTTCCAGCAAATCCCTGGTAGCCCGGCTTCTCCTTCTCCAGGTGGAAGATTGAAAGGTGATTCTTTGAAAAAACAAACGAAGTCTTTGGATTCTGAAAGTAAACCAGTAGCTTGCCTATGTCATAGATCTATAGTGGAGTGAACTCATTTAACAGTGCCCATGCAGGTCAAGCTACTCAGTTTTTCTCTTAAATAGGAACAAGCGCAGACATTTAAAAAAGCACCAACTGGAAAGAGCAAGTGAGCAGGCAAGTCAGTAAAATAGATAATATAGAGAGAGAACATTGAAAATCACCATAATTCTTCAGAGAATATGAAGATGCTACATTCATGAAATAAGAACAGGATGCAAAAAGGAGATAAAGTTTTTAGAAATTTAAAAATGTAATATAAAGGTAAAGGCCCTCCCATTGATCGTCGATTTGCTCGAGCGGGCCCAGTAACGTCTCCAACGAAGACGAAGTAACAACGAAGGAGACTTCGTTGTTACTGTGTCTGGCATATCCAATACTCTCGGTAGCTTGCCAGGCTCTCGGATTAAAGATAAAGGAAACTTTCCAGAAAGTTAATTTAAAAGATCAGAAGATAGAAAACAAGAGAGCATCAATAAGGGGGTCATCCAGGAGATACTCAAGTCATTAAAATTTGGAGGAAGGGACTTGGGGGTGTAACTGGCAGAGCACCTGCCTTGCATTCCTGTGGCAGTGAGGGACCCCCGTCATTATTTCTGGTGTAATGGAAGAAAAGGAGGGAGGAATCTCAGGAGGAAATTATCAAAGAAAGAAGTCATGAATGTTTGCCTGAACCAAAGAAAAAGGTTTTCAGTTTAAAGGATACTTGGTGCTTAGCACAGAAGACACCCAAAGGAGAACTGAAAGAATCAGGTTTTTTTTTTTTTGTGAATTGTATAAACTCTGGAAAAATTGTAAAAAATTTTTGATAAAACTGTTGAGGGTAGGGGAAAGGCACTAATTTGGGTTCAAAGAAATTTAGCAAAAAAAAGTGACTTTATTTGGTTCTTGTTGCATGAGTTCAAAGAGTACTTAGTGCCTAGCATCTGATCAATACCGTGAAGTATATAACATGACGTTTCAAAATAGACCGTGGCACTCTATTCCTATATGGAGGAGAAGATCCCAGTAACAGATAATAAAGATAAAGAAATATGGTAAAACAACAACTTTCTTACAAGATTTACAGCTCAACTGCAGTTTAAATTATCCTCAAAATTCAGAAGTGAAAAATAATAATTGACTGTGAATTTTGCACTCAGAAAAGTGAATCATATGAGAGTAGAATAAAGACTTTTTAGATACAGAGTCTCAAAAGGTATATAACAATGCTCCTTGCCACAAGAACAGGAGAACAAGCGAAGGAAGAAAATGGAGCTGTGGGGATCGAGCCATAGCACAGCAGGTAGGGTGTTTACTTTGCATGCAGCTGACCCGGGTTCGATTCCCAGAATCCCATATGGTCCCCTGAACACTGCAAGAAATAATTTCTGAGTGCAGAGCCAGGAGTAACCCCTGTGATTCGCCGGGTATGACCCAGACAGCAAAAAAAAAAAAAAAAAAGGAAATGAAGATATGAGAAAGAGTGGATCTAAAGAGCAAAGGGAATGTGGAGAGAGCCCGCCACTGCATGCAGGGCTAGCGAGGGACAACTTGGACCGGCTCAGGACAGAAGGTGCCCAAATAAGAACTAGAAGAATCAGTTTCTTTGGTGAGTTGTATTAATTCTGGAGAATTGTATAAAACTATTTGATAAGACTGTTGAGGTACGGGGAAGACACAAACTTGGGTTCAAAGAAAATTAAGACCACCCCCATCCCCCAAAATGATTTTATTTGATTCTGGTTGCATGACTTGTTTAAACTTTTATTTTCTTCTTTTCTCCTTTTTAAAGAGCAAAATTCCAGCATGGACATATCACACAGAATAATGGTAACCTGTGGATATGGTTGGGACAAATGCCTTAGTAATGGCTATTGAGGTACAGAAATGGAAGTTGAGAAACCCTTGGGTCTCTTTCTCTCTCTTCCCTGTCACGTCCCCTTCCTTCAAAAGGAGACAGTTTATAATACATGATAAACAAAAATCAGCAATAAAGGAGCTGTAACCACTGTAAACCACTTTAGCAACAATTATATTCATATAATCTTGATAATTAAAATGTTGCCTATGGATTTGAGCATTCCTTGTCATAGGGACAGATTACAAGTGTGTGCCATGAGGGAGACAGTATTAGAAGGACAAGCCTTTGAACATTTGGTGCCAACTAGATGTTGGGGTGAAGATTAGAAAAGAAAGAATAAAAGCTTTCAAAGTGATTTTTATTACAACCATTATTCATGTTTATTAAAGAAATTCTGGAAAATAAAAGACATAAAAGAAAAAAGAAATGCCCTAAAATTCAACTGAGAGACAACTCTGATAATTTTAGTATGTTTCAGGCATTTTCCTGGGATTGTTGGGTGTTTGGGAGTGTTTCACAAAATTATGACATTTTTTGTAGTTAGGAAAAGAAATATTTTAATAGCCTTTCAGAG